CACACTCACAGAGATCCACCTGTCTCTGCCTCCTGAGTGCTGTGATTGAAGGTGTGTGCCACCATGCTTGTTCTTCTTCTACCATTCCTTTGATGCCTATAAATGGCATGTAGTTGAGATTCTACTGCATATTTATCTTGCATGGGGATAATATAATCAATATAAGATCAAGAATATTTTACATGTGCTTTTTTAAATTACAGAAAAGAATTTCGGGTCTGAAGAGATGGCTCAGTGGTTAAGAGCACTGACTGCTCTTGCAGAGGACCCAGTTTTGGTTGAAGTACCCATATGGCGGCTAACAACTGTCTGCAACTCCAGTTCCAGGCATGCACACATACACTTACATGCAGGCAACACTCGTACACATAAAACTAACTAAATAAATTTAAAAAGAAAAAGAGAGGTATCATCCATCTCTGCTCTGTTATGACCCCATATTGGGGCGCTTTCCCAGACCCGCCTTGATTAATGTATCTCGCAAAACTCAGCAGAGAAGCATCGTTATGCATCAAATGGTGATTAACAACTGGCCCATGTGTAGAGAATTAGGGGCTTCAGAATGCTTATCCCTGACTAGGACACCTATATCAAACTTATGCCTCCCAAGGTTCAGGGGTCATTACAGAAGAGAGGGTGGAAAGATTTCTTTTTAAGAGCCAAAGGAGATGGACGACCACAGGAAATAGAGTTTTCCAGACAGCTGGTCAGTTACTCATATGAACTCACAACAATGGTGACAGCATGCACAAGTCCCAAGTAAACACAAGCCAGACAAACTCCCAGCATAGACATGGCAAAGTGGGTAAAAAACCCCCAACCCTACATGAAGAAATATTGGCAATCAATGATAGCCGGGTAAGGGAGAATCAGTGAGACTCTTAGTAGGTTGACTAGGCTCCAGTGGATGAACCCACACCCAAGGGCATTTAGGGGCAAACCTGACACTCTAGGCAATATGAGTATAGAAATCTGGTGGAGAGTTTAGAAAGGGGGTGCATATAAGGGAGGGGATCTAAATATGATAAAACTGTATTGTGTGAAATTCTCAAAAATTCAATAAAATTAAAACAGGAAGTTTTAAATTAGTGTACAAGGAATAGATATCACTATGACATTTTTGAACATAGTGTGTTTTAATTATTCTCCTCCTCCCCTCATCTCCTGCTCATATCCCTCATTCCTCATATAACCTCCCCCAGTCTCTTTTTCTCTTTTATATCTCCTATGTCTTTTTTGCTGCAACTTACACATACATACATACACACATGTGTGTGTGCACATGTGTATGTATATAACTATAGGCTAGGATCCACATGTGAGAGAACATGAGGTTTTGACTTTCTGAGTTTAGGTCACCTCACTTAATAGCATACTTTCCAGATCCACCCATGGATGTTCTTAAAAATCCTTCAAGAGGACTGGCTAGATGGCTCAGTGGGTAAAGGCACTAGCTATCCATCCCAATCCCACTGACCTGGGTTTGATCCCTGGGATTCACATGTGAACAACAATGTGAAGACCCCCAATAAATAAATAAATGTAATACAATTTTTTTAATCCTTCAAGAATGTCATTTAAAAATTAGAATTTTCAACCAGGCATGGTGGCACACTCCTTAGTCCCAGAAATTGGGAGGCAGGCACAAGTGGTTCTCTGTAAGTTCAAGGCCAGTCTGGTCTGCATAGCGAGTTCCAGGCCAGCTGGGACTACAAGGAGACCCTGTCTTAAAAAAATTAAAAAAATAAATAGATAAAGAAAGAAAAAATAATTAGAATGTTGAATGGTTATGGTGACAAAAACATGTAATCTAGGTACTCAGGAAGCAAAGTCTGGAGGGTTGCTTCGTGACCAAGGCCAGACTGGGCTACACAGTGAATTCTAGGCAGCCAAGGCTATATAGCAAGATTATGTCTTCAAAAAATGAAACTTACACTTTGCTAACAATTACAAATATATATATATAACTTAGTCTAATAAAAATAATAAAAGTCAAATCACAAATGGTATAAAAATAAAGTACTAAGCAATACTTAAGATTCTATCCTACTTTTCAACCACTAGTAAATATGCATAGAAAATGCTTGGGAAGGACACACTGCTAACAGTGAGATCTGGAGAGTGACATGGGTTGTAGGGAACTCTTGTGGTTTTTGGTTTTTGCTTAACAAGCTATTGTGTTTATTGTGTTGGCAGCAAAAAAAAAAAAAGGTTATTTTTTGTAACTTTTGTTTTTGTGGTGCTGGATAACCAGGGTCTTTGAGTATGCTTAGCATGCACTCTACTACTGAGCACATATTCCCGGTCTTTTCTAACTCACCTTTTAAAAAGAAAAAATAGGCGCTCAGGATGATGGCTCAGTGGGGAAAGTACTTGCCCCTCAAGCATGAGGACCTGAGTTCCAGCCTTAGTACCAACAACATAAGAAGCTAGAAGTGATGGCACAGGGCTGTAATTCTGGTGTGGGGAAGGCAGACAGGCAGGCCCCTGGCACTTGCTGGCCAGGTAGACAAACATAATTGGTGAGGTTCAGTGAGAGACCCTGTCTCAAAAAATAAGGTGGAGAGCAACTGACATGACACCAACTGTTACTGATCTCTGGCCTCCACACCTACATGTGCATGCACTGCCCCATGTACAAGAAAATAATTAGAAACAGATTAAAAAAAAGTTTAGGTATAAAAGGCTATCAGAAGGCACTTGCCTTTAATCCCAGCACTCTGGAGGCACAGGCAGGCAAATCTCTGTGACTTTGAGGCCAGCCTGGTCAGGATGGTGAGTTTCATCCCAGCCAGGGCTACATAATGAGACTCTCAACCCCCCCAAAAAAAAGTTATCAGAAAATTAACAATAGATTTTTTCCAAATATGAAAAATGATATAAAAATAAAAAAAGAAAGATCAATAAGTTTGCATGAAATTTTCTCCTCACTGCTCCCTCTGCCTTTGATATATGCCTGCATGGGCTCTCCTCAGGTGAAAACCAGTGGTTCCCCATAGAGTGTTTAAAAGATCCTCTTGGACTGATTGGCCTATATAACAGTCAACTCTCCCACCAGAAAATTTTGAAAAGGATGATGATTAAAGAAAAGAGTGGCGCTTGCAATACCCTTAAGGGCTGCCAGCGTTAGAGTAAAATTGGAGCAAATCCGATGGTGCTGACACTGATTCACATGGCCATAGTTTTCTAAGCTGACACTCCTGGCTGCTCCTCAGCTGCTAAGGCTTTTCAAGATCCTCCCTCTCACTTCTTACTTCCGGAGCTCCTAGGCTCCCAAGCCTCTCCTTGAGAACTTTGGGTTCAGGAGGAAGCCAGGGCTGGGACTCCTCTCACTTGTCTTCAAGGTCTTCAAGAGGTTGCCTCCTTGTGCTGGCCTGTTTTTTGAGACAGTCTCTTGTAGCCCTGACTGGCCTTGAGCTCTTTATATAGCTGAGGATGATCTTGATCTCCTTGCCTCCACCTCCAGAGGGATCTAACCCAGGGCCATGTGCATACTAAGCAAGCACTCTACCAACTGACCTACATCTCCAGTCTCTACTTTTTTGGTCTCTATTTATTTACTTATTTATATATTTAGTGCATAATGTGCCACTGGGCTAGTACCAAGAGCAGAGGACAGCTTTGTTAATTCTCTCCTTTTCTGTAGTTTCCAGGACTGGAACCCAGGTCGAAACCTGGCAATCTTTGTCTCCCATCTCGCAGGTCCATTTCTGTGTTCTTGTGTCCTCTCTAAGACTAGTCAAGAATCCCAACAACATGAAACGTGGCAACCCAGTGTATCATATGGGACTTCCCAGGCCCTTAACCCTCGGGAATCAGGAAGGTGGAAGATACGCGAGGCTTAGTATTTCTAAGTCTAGAGAGCTGAGTGAGTGAGCGTGTGTGTGTGTGTGTGTGTGTGTGTGTGTGTGTGTGTGTGTGTGTTCACTCATGCGTACTTGCTCGGGCTGGTGGGGGCAGGGTTGGAGACAGCACATTTCGGCCTCAGTACAGGTCCTTTCAGACTATCCAGATTGGCACCAGCAAAGTGCAAGCACTGTGCAACCCCACCGGTCCCCACCCCCACACCGCTCCGCCCTGTGAAGCTGGGCGGGATGCAAAGCAACCTCAGGCTCCAGCTCCCGCTGTGAAGGGAGTGCGAGGCTCGGCCATCCTCCTCCCACCACGTGCACCAGCCGCCCCCTCCACGGGCGTCTCTGCGGGGGTGTGGGGGTTGTCCCTTCTTTTCCCCAGGGTCCAGCCTCTGCTCATCCCTCAGGAAGCTAGGTGGGGGAGTGGGTGCGCACCTGCTCCCACGGGGAAGGCAATTACTCAGGACTCCTGGTGAGGGAGGCCAGAAGTGGGGTGCTGCCTGAGTCCAGAAGTTCTAGCACTCGCTCGCTGTGCACTCCGGGCCCCGGGCTTTGCGGGCTTTCAGCCCCTGCCTGGGTTTCAGGACACTGTGCAGTGGAGCTGCGCAGTGGAGCTGTGCGGGACTCTGGGACTGGTAGGTGACCCTTCTGGCTGCGTCTGGGCGCGCATCGGTGAGCAGCACGGGGCCACAGTGGTGCTGTGGTTGAAGGAGTGAGGATGGCCCAAGCAAGTTCCCCTCCCGCCACAGTCCGCCGGTTGCCTTTGCGGGGGGCCAGGTACTGGACCCGGAGCGTCCTGCTAGGCTCAGACGCCTGCACTTTGGCACCCTTGGCGCAGGCGATCCCTGTGCGAGTGGACATGGCCATGGCTCTGCAGCGCTTGAGGATTGCAGTGAAGTATGGGAAGAACTATCTGTGCCTGCTGCAGGCGGTCTTCCTTGCAGGTAAGTCTCATTTCCCGCGCACTCCCACCCTGCAGCCGGGACTGCAAGCTCCGGCTCAGTTCCTCCCCGGCTCCCTCCCCAGCCTGCTGGGGGCGAGCTTACTTTGTCTTCCCTCTCCTGTGGACACACACACACACACACACACACACACACTCACACACACACTCCCCCACTGTACTCGCACTCTCTCCTTCGAACTCCGGGCCGGGCCCGTTGTCCTCTGTTCTCCAGGCCAGCTGCTGTGGGTGTATGTGGCTCTCATTCTGGCTCCAGCCCGCCAGAAGCCCGCAAGGTGAGGTGAGACCATCTCCAAGGTTCTTGGTTCAAGTCTCCAAAGCAGTCTAGTCTAGATGGTGCACTCTACTCTAGATGGAAGTGGAAATACCAGTGAGCGTTTCAACTCCGCGCCGCAAGTCTGCCTCCCTGAGGATGCAATTCCCTGTAATATTCCCTGAAATTGAAAAAGCGAGGGTTTATTTCTTTTCTTTTGTGGTTGCTTGTTGTTGTTTGTGTCATGAGCACGTGTACGGCCAAATAAAAAAGGCGCTTGGATTCTGAAACACGCGGGCCTGGTTTTGAAGGAGGAGTTTGTGGGCAAACTGTTGCCAAGGATTTGGGCTTTTAAACTCTGACCGGTGCATCTTTCCAGCTTGATTCCATGAGATTCGTGCCTTTGGGGGGTGGGGGTGGGGGTGCGCTCTTATTACAAAGACAGAAGCTCTTACTTGTCCTGAAGGGGCGAAAGCAAAGCTAACAAATGTTTTTCTGTTGCCGCTGCATTTTGTTAAAGGCTTGTGCGCGCTGTGAGGCGGATTTGATGTATACAGGTTGAGCAAGTCTTAGTTGCTCAACTTTGGGGTTGGTGTAGAAGATGCCGAGGTTTCGAGGGCCTTATTTAAGTTCCTATGGAACCGTTGTGATCGAATCCCAGAGCATCTGCCAGGTGCTGCGGTTGCCGGCCGTGTCTTCAGTGTTCCCATGGAGTTAATCAGTGCGCTATGCCTTACAATGGGAATTTTGGTTTTAAAAAAAACTAGACTTGGTGTGGTTTTATCAAACCGGGTAGCCACCATGCGTGTTCCAAATACCGCTCCTTCTTTGAATCTGTCCACGAATTGGAAGAGAGGTCTTGGATTAAGCCATAGGAAACTCGGGGCTCTGTCTAAAGCATTTTGATTAATACAGAACTTTTTGCTCTTGTATTTTGTTTGTAAGTGGTCAGTGTTTTTTTTTTTTTTTTCT